CTACATGCATGATAGTTGAAAAGCAACTTGCATATAAAATTTGGAATATGCGATTTGAAAGACAAGTAACGGAATATGATCAAAAAGATAGGAATGAAATTTATTATAATAACTATTGAAATAAAACCTTGATAAATAAACAATCCTGTGTGAAATTTCTCAGTTATGCCTAATTAAAGAAATATTGAAAGAAATAGTGAAAGCTTTATATAATTGTATAGATTGATAAATAGTGACCCTGTGTCTGATTCCAATTAGATCGTATGATGATCGTTATTGATATATACATTCCGGCCACCCTCGTATATAATCACCACCTTAAATCGCGTTAGTGATTAACGGGATTAAATAAGTCAAATATGAGCATGAAGTTTAAATACAATCGTTGATCTGAACAGAAAATCAGAGAGACAAAGTAAAGGAAGCGAAGCAAAACTAAATAACGTACGATGGAGAAGGCGAATGAGCCGGCTCCTTTTAATCAAGCATGATTCAATATTTACATCAAGACGAAAATAATTTGCAGACTCATAATGGATAGGGTAAGTAATTAACACACATATGATGATCATATAAAAAAAACAGTCAAGGTTAATAAACGAATAAGTGACAGGGTAAAAATGTGGCTTATGAAGAATAAATAGATTGGTCTATTCAGGGGCTAGAATAACCTATATGGGCTTAACACAGTACCAGCCCCTACAATACGCTATAATAGTACATAGAGTATAATGATTTTAATTTTTCTATTTATTTAACAATTTCGAAGATTCCGAAAAGTATTCGTCGAGACTATAACTTATGGATGAACAAATCAGATATAAGATAATTTGTCTCGGATTTTGGCGCGAAATCCATTCACCCATTTAGCTAAGTAGAGTTTTGGCATTATAGCTGATGTCAGTTCGTGATGAAGACCCTAAATCTAAGTTTTAACCTTAACCATCAATAATAAATCATATTTCTAATTTTTCACACTGGTTTATAACCTTTATTTAGTCCTCGTTAGTAGGCGTACACTCTCAAGGTCAGTTTGTCGTCACTCAAAGATTGTCCATAAATTATAATCTCACCAAGTATTCATATTAATATCTTTAATCTTATTATTGAATAGTTTCTTTTTTCAGAGTCTAAACTGACATTCAGATGATACTTCTAATTTGTAAATTAACATATTCCCAAGCATAAAGCTATTCGTTTATACTTATATATTGTTTAAAAGTAAATTATTTATCATATTTTTCTCATGTCAATAGCCAAAATGGAAAAAAAGAAAGGTTTGAAAGTTAATCTTGTTTAAACAAATCAAATATTTTGTTCTTTGGTTGAACGCCATGTTGGTTTATTAAATAACTTAATTTACATTCTATTTCATTGTTCTATTTACTTATTCACTACTGTTACTATGTTTCAGCTTAATCTATTTGTTCTTTTTTTTTCTTTTTTTTCAGTTATCTATTTATTACGAAATTGTTCTTAATTGAGATAATAGTGAAGATTTGTAACTCATGTGGATGATGTCATTCATAAGAACAATGAAAGCTCTAAGACTAAATTATCCTATTCACAGAACAAAACTTCATCAGAATTACTGTAATATTTCTTTTTCTCAAAGGTTTCAGTTTTAATTCTTTTTTGATAAACCTACCTCATTTTCTAATCCATTTAATAGTATTTCTCAGTTTATCTTGGATTTCGTTTGTTTGTTTTACTATCCTTCCACAATATGTACTTATTAATTCTGTGTATATCTTTTCATCTAAATGAATTGTTTATTATCAGAAGGGATTTTGTGGATATTATAGTAATTTTAATAGTTAAGATCATGAGTCGATTGAAACTAGACCACCACAAAACCCTTCTGATATTAATCAATATATGCTCACTAGTGACTGACTTCAAGAGGTATATACTGGAGTTCTAGTGAGAAGCAGCGAATAGTGGAGGTCAACCGGGTCAATTGTGAGATAGTATCTCACTGATGACAATGGTGTATGTGTCACTCAATTTCGTGGATTAGTTGAAGTTAGACATTAACACCACTGGATGCCAGCCGGCTCAGTGGTCTAGTTGGTTAAGCGCCTGGTGCGAGACTGATATGTCCTTGGTTCAAATCTCGGAGGGGGTTGGGATCAAGGATGCGCATTGTTGAGGAGTTCCATAATATGACGGAACGGTCGTCCAGTGCTTCCAGTTTTCCGATGATGGTCTAGTTTTAATTGACTCATGATCTTAACCATTAAAATTGTTTATAAACTTTATATATATGTGTTCATTTACTGTCTAATGAGTATCATCAACTTCGAGTTGTTTTGTGATCAATAAAATAAATAAGACAATATAAATACACTTAATGTAAACAACATAAAATCGACATTTTTAAATTGTTACGAAGGTAACAAAGAAAAATGATATTTAATTTGATATTAAGTTGAAAAAAAAGATTTTGTATTTGTAAACTTTTATGACAAATAAGTATATCAGAATAAAGTAAGCAAAGCTTGCCTATTATCAATAATGTATATGAAAAGCTAGGTACTGACTTTTTAAATAAAACGCTTAAAACTCATATTTCTTGTGAATGAATTAAATGAGATACGGTAGAATCTCTTACATGAATGTTACGCCTATACTTTATTAATAACTTTTCTAATCCGTTGCAGTGAGGCAAATGATTAAACTACTAGATTGAATTGTACCATGTAAGAAAATGTATTTACTTTGACATCATAAATTAACATGAAGTGTATAGAACTCTAGATTATTATTATTATTATTACTATTATGTAATCATCCTACTTATTACTAATATCCAAAAACACGGAACTGACGACAGCATGATATGAGTCCATTACATTCTAAGCCACCTATTTTTATTCATTCAAAATCAAATTAAACTCTATCTTACAGGTTTACATATGGTTAAGTGACATGCAAACTAACAATTTCTCATTACTAAAAGATAAAATTTATGAAGGTTGTGTAGTAAATTAGACATTGTCATTTATATTTTAAATCTGATGAACTCTAACATATAATAAGATTTATTTGTATTCTAATCTAATGAAGAAATTTCTGTGAGTACATGCAAAAGATGTGAGTCTTAAGGTATTTTAAGTTGATTTTCAACAAAACCCTGGCCTGTAGGGAGCAAGAAAAAAATATATTTGAGCAGAATGATGTGAATTCATTTTATTTTGTTTGTTTATCGTCAATTGCTCACGACCTTTGATATTTGAAAAACACAAAGCTACCACCATTTCTTGAAGGCTTCCAATGTATCACTAAATCGCATATTGAATCAACGAATTTACTTATTTAACTGAAGGGTGAGCCCAGTGCTTTAGATAAAGTGTTTAATGACGTAAAAATCGTATGTCCGATAAAATTTATAGTGGTCTAAGACCTCACCACTCATGGATGCCTCATATGTATGAATATTTATGATCTACTGAAGATTCACAGGCATAATATCCCTTTTAGACCCATTCTGTCAAAGATCAGTTCACTGTATCACAAAGCTGCATGCTGGCTAGTTGATAAACCAAAACTAGTCCATCAGAGATTAGTAACATATAAATTAAGAGATTCAACCCGATTTGCTGACAGACTAAACCGTATGAATGTTACTGGTATGTTCATGTTTTCTTTAAATGTAACATCCTTGTTCACTAAAATACTGCTTCTTGAAATCATTGACATAATTTGTCAGTATAATAATCTCTTACCTTTACTGGTACCAGAACTAAAAAAAACTTACTTATGTACAAGCAAACCTTTCATGATACCGACAACCGTATCTATAAATTTACATGAAAGTCTCACAGCAGCTACATTGGTCAAAAGGAAAAGTGGGAATATCTGAAATTTTTTTGAACGTGTTCCAAAAAGCCTTCGATTAAGAGAAAGAACTACTTTAAACATAGTAATTAACAAATATCTCTTGGTTACGGGACATCGCGTCGATATCTTCAAAACTTCTGTTGAAGGCACTAATATCGAGTGTCAGATACTTCATTGATGTATTCAAAATGAGATAATTGTTAACTTTTCCTTGCCCTAGTGACAAATATTCCTTCATTACGTCATAAAAAATTTATTCAACCCTCTCTTTGAATTACTTATATCATTATATCTTTTAACTTCGTCTCTCTACTAGATTAGTAATCATATTTTAATTAACTGAACTTTACTCATTTTTGTTAATTACTATCAGCGTTTACAAATTACGTAACCATCTGTTTCTAGCCCTTTAAACTTTTATCAATGTTGTAGAATATTCTTTTAAATAAGGTGTATATTCATAATATTTTTTTCCAGTCTATCGAATGCATTTACACCCATACTGTACTATACTGAGATGTCTTCAAATTAACTTCCAACTAAACTCTTTGACGTAAGTAATTTCAACATATTTTGTAATTATGATTTTTAAATATCACAGGTTGTGAGCAGCTGATGGGAACCAAACAAAATAAAATGAATTCATGTTATTCTGCTCAAAAATATTCGTTCTTACTCTCTGCATAATGATAACGAAAACTATGTGTGTGAAATCTTATTTTCATTTTAAACTACCTATTTGATCTGCAAAATAATAATTATGCCAGTAAGATTTATAAAAATAGCTAAATTAGATAGTGTACGTGGAAGGAGAATAAAGATGAAATATACTTGAGCTTCGTGGTGAATTTTTGTTGTTGGTTTACAATTGATCGATCACTGATTAGGGACCGACATCAGAGTTATCTAATCCTTTAATACTATCGACTACCTAAAAATTTCTAATAAGTTGTTAGTAGTAAACACATTTGTGGGAAGATGATGAAGAGAAATCTTCGTTCTGAGTTAATGCCAACCATACTTATGATCCATATTTGAAACAATTGTGCAGTAATTATTGTCGTTTATATAGGTTGAACATATATAAACTTCTACAAATCAGTAAATTCTTTTTTTAAAGTTAAGTGTTTAACAAAGATTGAAATCATGCAACTCACTTTGCTAAAAGCCATCCTGGTCGAACATGTCTATCAGTAGCCCAAATTAAAACTAGTCCAATAAATAATAAGCCAATACCAGTTATCACTAGCAAATAATGAGCATCGAGACAACAGTAGCAAGCTGTAAAACGTCCAGTTCCATTGTCAAAATTTAATGTTGGTGGATCGTTTTGAGTTATTTTAATCCCTGTAGAAGATTTTCTTTCATATTCACTTACACGAATAGTTTGATTGGCAATCAATGCTTCATTGTGATTTGTGCTTATTGATGTAGGGAACTCCTATAATTAAATAAAAGGGAAAAGATACATGTACCGTTTAGTATGATTTCAATTAAGTCACGTTTCAAACAATCATAGGAATAAAATTGTCATAATTTTGAAAATGACTTAGTTCTGGTGGCGAGTGAAAGTAGACCAGTTCCTCTGATGTAAACACTTCAGAAATTAGAATTACGGTAATTTAAATTGGGCACTTTCACTAGTTTTGAAATTGCTGAATACATTCTTCATTAGTGTATTACCGAAGGAGCAGAAACATTTGATTAGTTAGTATTCAGAACAATGAAAACTTCAATATGTATGTCGTAAAACGAATATCGGGATCATTGAGTCTTACCAGAGTCATTTCGTTCAAATATTTAACTTCACCCTAGTTCAATATTCACCAGCATGACATTAACTGAAACTATGTGCTACATACGTGACTGCATTGATTTTAACAGTATGGATGTAGACCTACCAAATGACCGCTTGAAAGAGTGTTATTGAGTTGTACCTTAAATATTCAGTTCATTCCCAGGAATCAAATATATAAACGAAGAGATGGAATCGCAATGGGGTCTCCGTTGGGCCTAATCTTAGCTTACCGTCCCATATCTAAACTCGAAAGCAACCAACTTGTTTCGGTCAGCATTGAACCTAGCTTATGCAAAAAGTATGGGGATGACACATTTGTCAATCGCGAAGAGAGTGTTGAATTGGTTAGCATTTTGCACTTTTTTTATACATCCTATCGTTTCATAAGTTTGAGTTTAGAAAATAATGTGGGTCACTGTATCTCATTTCTGAATGTACTTCTGACAAGGAGAAGTGATTGACTTCTACGAAAGATCTGTAATACTGAATCAATTGATGAAGAACTTGGATTCATCAGAAAAATGTTCGTTGAAAACGGTTATGGAAGCCACTTGGTAGAGGAAAAAATGAAAGGAAGTCCGGACAATGAATCTCGAAATTCCATTTCAAAGACATGTTTTCATGAATCTAGAATTTCGGAGTGACCAAACTTCTGATATATATCAAAATCTGCTGTCAACGACTATGAAAAGAACTTTCTATACAACTCAGTTTTTTAAAAGATAAGCTCCCTTGTCCGTTCTACCAGTTCATGCGGTCCCATAGAGTGTGATGGATAGTTCGTAACCAGTGCTTGCTTTCAACTAGGATAAGAGAATGTGTGGTTCTACAAAGCGGTAAGAAGTAATATTCTTCAAATGCATGTATGTTTATCAAGATTATTGTTTTCTATGCCCAAAAGTTCTCATATAGAAACCCCTTTTTCTCAAATATTTTATTACTAAAATATATATATTACTTCCAGTTCAACTAATAGTAATGGTAGATATTTAAATGAACCGCAAATACAAAATTCACCGACATTGCACCTATATTTCTTACTTGATACATCATTTATTACATTTATAACAACAACATCTAAACAAAACTAAACTGAATTAATTCTACCAATCAAAAGTACAACATACATTAGAGATTGAATGATGATTTGATTCATGTAAATTTGATGAGCATGATGCAGGATGTAAGAATGGTGTAGATCCTATAGATAATTGTATATGTCTAGGTGATCTTATTTGAATTTGAGGTTGATAATGATAATTAGAATTATAAGTACCATGTATTTGTTGTGTTTGTTGTGAATGATGATGCATAGAATGATCAAATGAATCAATCATTATTTGTGAATTATCATTTATATCATGAATTAAATGATTGGCATTAATTAATTTTATATCACCAAACCAAATATTATGCATAAATTCAAATGTTTGAAAACATCTAGACAATATAATAATAGCATCTAATAACAATAATAATAATCGAACTTGTGTCAATGTTAAAAAATAAGAATTTGAATCAATTGTTGAAGGATTTCCATTTCGTTTCGTAACAGTTGTTGCAAACCTTTTGAGAAAAGGAAAAACATTAAATTGGGGTAAAGTTATAACTTTATGAGAATTACTTTAGAATCAAGCGTCTAAGACAGTAAACTTCATAATAATTTCATTATATTTTAATTTTCAATGATATCAAATGGGAATATTACAAAAGATCATTAAACAACATACAATATGAACAATCGTAAAGAGAAAAAGAAGCATTCATTAAGTTTATCAGTTCAGTATAGGGGTTTTGGAGATTATTAAGTTTTTGATTGAGATCATGAACCGATTGATGTTAGACCACTATTGAAAACCTGGAAGCACTAAAAGGCCGTTTCATCTTATTGTGGGACTCCTCAGCAGTGCGCATCCACGATCCCACTCGCAGCATTCGAACCTAGGGCCTTCAGTCTCGCATTCATATTGATAAAACATGTTCAAAAAAAGATGCTTCTAAGGAATAAATTTATAATATCTAAGAGTACATTAATTTAAAGTCTAAAAAAATATCCAATTCTGTTTCCTTTGCCCAGAAACGTATGTCCGGTCATAGGATGCAAAAATTATCAGTTATTATATTGAGAATACTTTTAATCAATAATTAACTTAACTACAAATGAATGCCTTACACTTCAGCTGCTACACATTTTACCAAACATACATTTTATTATTCAATTTATGTGAACAGACTTATGCAAATTAAATTAATCATTCAAGCAGTTCGCTTACGTATAAATTCATATAAGAGCATATGACATTGCATTTAACTATTTTTTGAATTAAATAATCGTATTATTTTGATAAATATTGACGATGTAATAAAATTCTTTCTTTTTTTTTACCAGCGGTTGAATATATTGAAACATTTGTGAGAATTAATTTCATTTTATATTGTTTGTTTGAAACTTCTCATTGATGTTTAGGACTATAATTGATCAGTCTCTTATTAATACAAGTGCATTCTATATTGATTGCCTTGATATTGCCTTAAGTTACAAGCATTATAAGCAAAGATGGATGGTGGTTAGCAGTGGAATTCAGGTTGCGCATCAGCTCGTCAGCTGGATGTACATGCATCACACAGTTGATGTTCACTCCAGAACTCAAACGCAGTACCATTTACTTCAAACACAACCACGTTATCCACTTGGCTATTAAGTCTTGATAAAATTGTTTTTATTAAATAAAATTAGTGAAAGTTACAGTTTCTTTATTTTAAAAATATAACATTCATAAGAGATAATAAGGGTTGGTTGAGAACAATTTTGTAGACGGAGTCTACCACTTTACGTCAATTTATAATGAATTTGTTTTCTTTATTTATGGAAACGTTTGTGAAAATCGGTTACTGGAGAGTAACACGCGTTAAACTTGTTCAATAGACTTCACTGGTTACTAGGACGTAGATAGATAGTCGAAATTGCAAACTATTTGATTCACATACACATTTCCATAAACATTGACATTTATGGTGCTTATTAGTTTAAACAAAGAAACAGTAGCTCGAATGATCTTAACATTTCTAATCTATTTCAAAAATCAAAATGTCATCAGGCTGTAAACATATTCGTAACAAACGTACAAACATGGTTAAAATAATCGTTTTCACTGTAGTTTTGGCAATCTTCATCGAACCAACTTAAAATAGAAGAGACATGAGTGACACGATATCTGTTTTAAGCATTCGCGGTAGATTACTATAATTGAAGCAAATGAATATGAAGAATAATAATTCTATAATACAATATCATTATTTGTACTCTAGCTGAATTCTCATTTTATACAGTACATATCATTGCTGGCATTCAACCTTTATATCATCCTGGTTAGTTTACTTTTATATATCTACAGATTTTCTAGAATATTAATCAGTAGATGAACACTTGTAAAACTTGACGACCATATAACCAGCGAAAACATATCTTTCATGAAGCATGTCAATATCAAGGACCTTCACTGAATGCACCAAGTTTAGATTAAGTCATGTATCCATAACCCTACACGCTAAAAAATGTTACAAGTATAAACATTGAAGTAACTAATGTTTGGGTACGATGTCAAAGAAAGGAACCTTTTATCAGTTGATAGAGACTTATTTGTAAAACGATGATATTTAATTGTCTCACGATAAAGCTAATCTATGTCATTAGTGGGGAAACTGTCAGGCTACAGAATTCTACCAAATAAAAAGAGTTCAACAGCCTATATAATATTCACTGTCTGTATCCAAATACTAAATACTTTGAGTTGTCTTGTAAACTATCAAATAGTATAATACGTCTTTGACATAAATAACCGGATTTTTGTGGGGGGGGGACTAAATATTGAAAGTAGGTATTAATCAAACACATCTATCAATACTGAAATCGATAACTGATCGGATATGATTAGATTCTGTTTAAACAAAATTGATGGGTCGGGTTGTTTGATGAAATTAAATAACTGAATACTAAAAGAATCCATCATAAACTCTTTTTCGATCCATCAAAAACACTATTTTATATGAATTCACTTGGTGTTGTTTTACTTGTATCTTCCCATTATTATTTAGGACTGTATTTGATCAATCTCATGTTGGCATATGTGCATTCTGTGCGTATTGTCTCGATATAGCCTTCAGTCACAAGCTTTTTAAACAAAGATGATGGATAGTGGTTAGCGGGTACATCCAGCTGACGATTCCCAGATAGGACGAAACGCGCACCCTGTATTCTACTGCTAACCACTATCCATCTTTGTTTAAAAGCTATTTTATATGGCCTTATATTTTTGACAAAATCTTTGATTGATACTGATAACATCAAACTAATTCCTAATAACAATACTTATCTAAAGGTTATCAAAATCTAGGTGAATTAAAATGTTTAGTTAAAAGTATTCTATTCGAACTAATAATTAAGTTCACTGATTAACATAATCTAACATTATACATTGAATGAATTCCATTTTACTAAAATCAGGTTTACATTCAATATGTATACGTAATAACATTATTGCTTTGGAATTCGTTTCTTCTGTGTTTTTTTTCAAGAAATCACAACATATTAGTAGACTTGTTTATATTTAATTACTACTTTTAAAGATCTAAACTGAAAATGTCATTGATAAGCTAAATAAGTTTATTTTTACTTTGCCGAATTATCTTTCGTTTTTTTGTTGTTGTTGTTATTATTCTTGTTACCACCCAATCATTTATTTGATTATTAGATAATCTGAATATATTTCACATTTGGGGTAGACAATGTTTTACATTTCTTTATACTATTTATTAGGTTACATTTAATGCAGATAAGCTTATCTCTATGTATGAATATAAATAATTCCTTTCTTTCCTTTTTTAAAAACTAAGTAAAATATAATTAATCTAACAAGTAGCCTAAATATCATATTTGTTTTAACCAAGTGAAGAAATATAGTGAAATGAAAAAGTAGCACTACGTGAGTTGTACCATGTGTGTGTGTGTGTGTGTGTGTGTGTGTAAGTTTGTCTATTCATCTTGTCATTAATTTCAACATAGTTTAATAAATATCTTATGATATAATTACATACTTTATGGAAAATAAAAACATCTAAGGTATGTTATAGGGTTTTTAAGAAGTTATCGAATTTCTATACAGTTTGCAAATACCTATATCTATACCTAAAACAAGTGTATTTTATTGGAGTGAAAATTGCACTTCATGTGTGTATACATATCTAAATACTATTTAACCAAAGTGCAGTAAATTCTCTCTCTTTCTTCAAATAACCTTTCTATTTTCTAAGTATAGAATAAGTTCATAAAGTCTATACTACGTTTGCATATTTCACATTCATGTAATATACAATATTTAATCTATAATATTCAACTATTATAGATATGTATATTTTCATATATTTTCTAACACATACATTGATAATAACACAGATTAAAAATAATAATCATTCATTTTATACTGACATTATGATAACTGTAACAATTAGCTAGTTTTTTTTCTATACACCTCTTAACTTTAGTAGCTATGTCGAAGAATTTAAGGTAAAATAAAACATATACTTGTACAAATACATATTACTATGTGTATATGCCAAAAGAAACTAACATTTATATCAATATGATAATTAAATTAGGTTAATGCAAATATCATAACGTTAAGTATTTTTATGATTGAGTTGTTTTGTAGAATCAAAAGGGGTTTTGTGGAGATTGTAGTAATTTCGATAATTGAGATCATGAGTTAGTTATTTGAAGCTAGAACATCATGGAAAACCTGAAAGCACCGGACGGCTCTTTTGTCCTATTGTGGGACTCCTCATTAGTGCGCATTTACTATCTCGCCTCGCGATATTCGAACCCAGGACCTACTAGTCTCGTGCCATGCGCTTAACCAACTAGACCACTGAGCCGGATGACATCAAATGGGGTTAATGTCTAACTTTAACCAATCCGCGAAATTGAGCGACACGTCCACCATTGTCATCAGTGAGTTACTATCTCACAACTGACCTGGTTGAACTCCACTGGTCACTGCTTCTGATTCTAATCAACATATGCTCACCAGTGACTGGCTTCAAGAGATATTTCCTGGAGTTCTAGTGAGAAGCAGTGAACAGTGGAGTTCAACCGGGTTAGTTGAGAGATAGGAACTCAGTGAAGACAATGGTGTATGTGTGGATCAATTTCGTGGATTAGTTGAAGTTAGACATTAACACCACTGGATGTCAGCCGGCTCACTGGTCTAGTTGGTTAAGCGCCTGGTGCGAGACTGATAGATCCTGTGTTCGAATCCCGCGAGACGGGGTCGTGGATGCGCACCGTTGAGGAGTCCCACAATAGGACGAAATTGCCGTCCAGTACTCCTAGGTTTTCATGGTGGTCTAGTTTCAATTGACTCGTGATCTCAATTATTGAGTTGTTTTTAGTCTAGTATAATCATGATTACATTGTTTATGAAAATATGTTGAAGTAATGATAAATTAAAGATTTCAATATAAGATCATGATTACAATAAAAGCTCAACTTTATTTCCGTAATCTTTAGAGGTAAGCTAAATTATAAAGTTGATTCAAGTGTGGACATATGTTATACTAAACTTGTATTCATATATCAATGGTTATCACTGAAATTGATATTTATTTTATTTGAAATAGATTTTTCCTTAATTTTGAACTCATTTACAAACCAAGCCATTAAAACTTTATACTCACTGATATTAGATTGTATAACAGTGTAAGCTTTCATTTGCATAAGTAAGCATTATGGTCCATCATAATGTGCTAGATGTGAACAATTTCGATCGATAAGAAGTTCTATAAAGTTTTGATGTAGATCTAGCTAGATCTTATTTGATAAATTAACTAATCTCTTGAGAAAAACATAACCATTAGAACAAGCTTAAACTTTTGACAATCAGATAAGAATACAGACATTTGTTGTATCAAATATTGAACAATATTTTGATATATTAATCAATCAACCAAAACTCAGTTGGTCATATTGGATTGTTATGTCCATTTTGCATACAATATTCTGGGACGAAAGATTATTCAACCGAAAAGGATTGGTGTATTTCATAAACATTCAAGTTAAAAACTCTTCAAAACGCCAGGAGTTTTTAGTTAGTTACCGTTAATATTCAACAGTTTTGTGAAATCTGATATTAGCAAAAAATAATCTATGGCAACGTATTCAAGGATATGGTGTATAAAATGTTATTGTCAAGTGTATATAACCAGAAAATGTTGATTATAACAATGATTACTATCCATGTTAGTTGTATTTGACTTACGGATAGAATTGTGTATTTAAATCAGTAAATGAGTCAACATTCAGTTTTTCATCTAAATCCAACTGTCCACTTGGAATATGATACCAATCTTCACTGGATAACATTTGCCGATGATCATGATACAATTTTGGCTTTCTTCGAAATTCAACATCTTTATTTAGAACTGATGACGAAAATGATGACGATAATGAACTTGGTTCTAATTTATAATAGAATTTGCTCGGCAAACCTGGAACTAGATTACGAAAACTGTTGAAATAAAAGAGAAACAATAGATGGAAATTAGTAATCGCAATCTATGTTTTATCTGAGTATTTATTACACTCTCGGGACATAAAAATGCATCGCTAATACCTTCAACTTTGATATAACCATCCAATCTGATCACATAATTATAAAATATGATTATTTAAGAGTATGTCAGTTAATCATTCTTATATGAGCCATTTTATAACTAGGCATTATTTAGTAAAGTTAATTGTGATTTTTAAAGTGAATTGGATAATCTGTTGCATGCATCAAGTATATATGCATCAATCTATATCTGAAAGAATAAAGTGGATTCTAAAGAACATTATATTGTTTAAATACCTTTTCTTTAGTCTCAGTTATTTGAAATTCCTTTACTTTTACCTTGTATAGAATACACTTTAACGCAAATTGTACATAGTTTTTCCAATTTCTTTATTATATACAAACTCGGTAATATTTTCCTGAGAAAAATTATGTAAATTATGTTTAGAATACCATCACTGTATCAGACAAAAGATGATCCGAATACCAGATCACTTGAAGAGTCATTCGTGAAATAGAATAATTACATGGTTTTAACTTCAATTTCTTATCGCAGACTATAAGTATTCTTTAACTTGAATTCTAGATTAATATGGATTTGCTGCCTGGTGAGCAACCGAACTCGGGACCTACAGATCTAGTTGCAAACACATAACCATAAGATTTAATCCAATGCCCCATGTTTCGAACTTCGTGGTGTAAAGCAATGATCATTCAGTATAATTTATCTGAATTAAAAATATTTCTATTAAACTATATAATTTGTAGTCTTATTAGTTTTCCATTGTGTGAAATTAAATGTTGTTAAAATTGTTTCATCTAAAAGATAAATATAAAGATCAAACTATTCATTGCAAGCTGATACACGTGGTAATTACAACTCAAAAATCGTATTTTTTTTATCACCTAATTGAGCGTGTAGAAACATTTTAATGAAATATTAGCTAATGGGATAAGTTATTGATGAGCTGTAGTGTCGGTTGCTATGTTAAGTCTATATAACTTATTCTAGCTTCTGGACAGTCCAATTTATCTATTCTTCTTGAGTCACGTTTTAAACTCGTCACTTAATCGCTTATCAACCTTGACTGTTTTTAATGAGCGTATGTGTGTGCATTTCTTATCCTACTCATCACATATCTGTAGCTTAATTTTGTGTGATTATAAATATTGATTAGCTCTTGATTAAGTGGAGTTGGCTCACAAATCATGTCTACCGCGCGTCATTTGGCTTCACTCTCTTCTCTTCGCTTTGTCCCTCTGATTGCCTGCCCAGATAAATGAATGCACAAAATATACATATTTGAAAATCCATTCTCATATTCGACTTAATAAATTCCATTATACACTAAAGCGGATGAAGTCGATAATTTTATACGAGGATAGACGATATGTATATTTCAATAATATTTATACAATCCAATTGGAATCAGATCATGGGCCACTAAAAAGTCATCACTAAGTCAATATTACATAATATTTTATTCTGATATCAAAATTAATCCTATTTATTAAATTTTGTGAAGATATTCACAGAACTTCCTGTTTTCTTTGCATTTATTCAAGAAAACAGACAATCAAATGATCAGTCTCTAAAAATTTCAGTCTGTTTCATTCATAAACACTAATGAATCAATTGAAGTATTAAAAAAAAAAACTGTGAGGCATTTAATAGGAAAACAGAAATTATACCTCAATCTATATTCTTTATTTTACTCAAAAGTAAGACACTAATCTTCATCATAATAGAATAAACAGGATAGACAGATTGACAGATAAATATATAGACATGTAGGTAGTTTGATTAATAGATATGCAGACAGTCATATGATTTTTGTAAACAAAAGAACTCATCATAGAGAAATATATCAGTTGAACGTAATTGAATACATAATGAATTAGAAATATGAAACAGAGGGAATAATATATAAATGAAAGAAATCGTAATCAAACAATTAGCTATCATTTATTTTATTCGTTTGATATGAGCCAAAATTAGAAGTAGTGATGAAGTTTTATTAACTTTCTAAATTAACTTTTAAACCTTTAATAGATGACATCATGAGTCAATTGAAGCTAGAACACCATGGAAAACCTGGAAGTACTGGATGACCGTTTCGTCCTAGTATGGGACTCCTCAGCAGCACGCATCCACGATCCCGCCCACCGCAAGATTCGAAACCAGGACCTATAAGTCTTGCGCGCGAGCGCTTAACCACTACACCACTGAGACAGCCAGCATCCAACGGTGTTAACATCTAACTTCAACCATTCCCGCACTAGGACGAAACGGCCTCCCAGTGTTTTCAGGTTTACCATGGTGGTCCAGCTTCAATTCACTAATGATTTCAATTATTGAAATTACTAAGATCACCGAAAAACCCCTTCTAGTTTTAAACCTTTAGTTTCGTATGATTCAGTCATTTTCAGTTTTTCACCCAGATTATCCATTATATTTTATATTTCTGGTGTTAAGAAAATCAACTGAATTACCATCCTAATTTTAAATGTTTCTTCCTTTTATCTTGGTAACGACTTCTTTTCGTATGTACTGAAATGATATTTGGAAACTTGGACAGATATACATTACATGTTGATTATGAATGGCTGACTGATATTTGTGATAATATTTAATAACATTTAAACTGTGCGTTTGATTTTACTCATTCGAAATTCTTTTTAGGCAGTTATTTTTGTTGCTTGAAAATAATATGGAGAAAAGCTGTAAACAGTGTCATCTTGAGATGAAACTCTCCAAGAATGAATATTTACAACCTTAACTAGGCTCTAAAGAGGAACAATGTATTTGTAAAATCTCAGATAAAGGATTCGAAGTAAATCCAACGTTTCTTCTGGTAATCTGGTCCAAGCTTTTTCAAGGAAAATATAATCAAACAACAAAATTATCGAATATTTTACTTGAAAAAGCTTGAACCAGATTGCCAGGCGAAAAGTTGGATTTACTTCAAATCATTTCGCTGAGATTTTACAAATACATTCTTCCTCTTTAATTTCTCCCATTAACTCGGCGCCCAAATATTTTGAAACTATTCGTTCAAATTTGGACGAAAGTCCTTACTTAACAGGGCTCGAACTCAAAACCCTATGAACCTCCGGGGAGTGCCAAACATTTAGGCTACTGACTTGGCACTAATTAGTTAATATTTACAACTTCAATCATTTTATTATAGAAGTCACAAAGATAGCAATCTTCGAGACTTCTTTATATCAACAACAGATTAGCACGCTCTTTTGCTTATGTGATGTTGAAGGTAAAAAGTTAATAATTTAATGAGTCAAAATTATTTATAGAAGACAGTTTTGACAGATCTTTGATTCTGATTCATTAAAATCCAAAAGCGGCTTAAGCGAACATCTCTGACATTATCTTTGATTATGAAGTAAAGTGATATTGTCACAGTGTTATACAATAATGGTAATCACTTTAAATCAATGTAGTTTAATGTATTCATGTGCCTATTATTTCAATATTGGTTCAAGACACTGAATAACATACTAAACTGTTGTATATACACATACTTAATTTCTCTATTCACCAGATATATCAATAATAATCATAACAAGTCTATATCTTTTCAAAATTTTCGGTGATCACACCGATCTAGATAATTTTGGCATAAAAGTCAAGTCTAGTTAACTAGAAGATGAGTTTCGATAGTTTTCTAAAATATACAACCCGAGAAAAGTTTCTTTAAGCTAAGGTTCAGTGCTCGTTTGAATAAATGAAATAAATATTCAATTTTTTCATAAAAGGGTTCACTCTAAACTTTATGACTATTTTTCATCAGCTTATTAATAGGAAGACTTAAATTATTGATTTCTTTTATTCTTTATTATGGAAGTATCCACTGTATAACTGTTTGTAATACACCCCCATATTTGTATTTATATATATAGATATATCCATACATTTAGTATAACGGAAATAAAAAGACCCTAGAAAAAGTTATTAGAATGAAGGAGATTATTTTATTGACCTTGTTAGAAAGAAACACCTTTTTTATAACAAAAATACTTGATAAATTTAATCATAGCCTGATCTATATTTTGTAAAACGATCATAGTATTTCATTAATTAATTTGTTTTAATACAAGTATATGGGTCATTAGCGATAATCCCATAGATGAAAGCAAAGATCGAGGCGCACAAATATCAGTAAGTTGACAATGTTAACCTATTTACCAATTTAATCTCCTCAACTCAAAAATTCGAAATCGTACAAATCTTATTGATTAAATTGGCAATATTTTTCCATTTTGTAATGTTGAAGATAATTAATGATTGAGTGACTAAAGTGATTGTTAACTTCTATTGGTTATCCCTCTACTGAAAAGCGAATAGAGTAAATACAACAAGACGGATTTGCCTTTAGTCAATAAAAAATCAGTAAATGTCAATTTCAACTTCGGAATTGAGGAAACTTCAAGCACAATCAGTAGGATGTTTGACAAAGTGTTAGTCAGAACCTATCATGCAATCGAACGACTGATTCGGTTTAAGATAATGTGTTCAGTAACTCGATAAAAACCAAAGAGTATCCTATTCATGTACCGCCAACTGCACATGCAACTCCTACAGAAGCAACACTGGCCAAAAGGAAAAGTGGAAATATCTGAGATTTTTCGGACATGTTCCAAAAAGCCTTCGATTAGGACAGAAAACTACCTTAAACAGAGCAATTACCAAACATCTATTGGATACAAGACATAACATCGACACCTTCAAATCTTACATGGTGATTAATTAATAGCCCATCCCCAGTTTTCTGAAGTTTACTGAAGGCTTTATTATCGAGCGTCAGAGACTTGATTGATGTGTTCAAAACGACGTGTAAATTGTATAATTATTTTTTTGTTTTCATACTTTACAATTGCAGTTGTAAATTTGCATAATACACTACCTGAGCCTTCGTTCATTCTAATATCAGTGTTTTAGAGTGTTCCTTCACATAATATTTACATTTACATCCTTGCTATGCTATACTGTTGTGTGGTTACATCAACTTCCAACGAACTCAATAAATTACCTCAAAAATATAGTCTGAATTTACCAACTCTGTTCAGACCACTAGTTGTTGACATCATGGTCTGATGTCAAATTTTGATTTGACCTCCCCTAGATTTCTTCCAACTTATTTTCCATTGCTAAACATGTCCGTTCAGATAAGAGGATGAATTAGCCAGCAAAAACATAACAATGTTATTTAAAATGGCTTACCTATTCCAAATTCTTGTACCAGCCAAACGAGCATGTGCAGGTTGTGGAACACCAATAAAATTTGCTAGCATTAAAGATTGTGTTTCTTTGGCACCATTTAAAGCGGTTAAATCATTTGACGATTGATTCTCATCTTCCGAGTCAAAATCACTTGATACTAAACCAAAATACGTTCGATCCATAAATGATATACGCCTCTCTTGCAACCATGATGTATTTAATGCTCTATATGCTGGTGCAAGCCATGGGTTTGTAAGAAGATTAGCCAAAAGTTGATCATATGGTGCCCAGTAGTCAATAACTTTCGTATCCAGATCATCCCTTGTCTATACAAAAGGTTGAATAAGGAGTATTTCAGTAAAACAATTAGGAAATTAAATATATGATAGGCTGTTGGAAACAAAGTAAGTTGTACGAAGTAATTTTTCAATTTCACTACTTAAAATGTTGTATATTTTATGGTTAGTGATCAGGTGGTAGGAGGATTTTTAATTGTAAACTGAATACAACATATGTTTTATATTAGTCAGTTTAATCACTAAACAAACGTATAGATTATTCTGTAAATCTGTGAATATGGAATCTTGCCAGGTAAGTCTTTTTGGGTGATGCAATGAATCACTTCGTGTTATGTATATTACATACAAATTATTTCAATAATTTAAAGCTCAATAAACAAATTAGTTTATTTCAGGTTCTAAATTTATTTCTGAATACCAAGAATTAGAAGTAGATATGCCATGATTCGAACTCATAACTATCGAGATGAAAATTATTTGTTCAGGTAAATGAATATTTTAAAATACCACATGTTATGCGATTTTAACAATGATTGATGGTTGCTAAATTAATCGCTTTTAGATTTAATCAGTTAGTTACAACACTGACAAATTTCTGAAAGGATTGATCAACTTACATGACATGTAGGGGATGTCTTGATAATTGTAAGCTGTTTGATATGTATGTACAACTGAGTGGAATAAACTATATCTATTAAGAATTTTCATGATACAAGTAGATAACATAAGATGTGCGAACATTTGTGAATATGGACTCTCCTAGTGAAACTATTCAGTACGTTTATTAATTATGGTTGGCTTAGTTTAATTTCTTTAATAAATGAATTCTTAGAAAACATTGAATACCATGATTTCCACTGAAAGTGTTTTTTGTCTCTTATTTTATAGTAATTTTATTTTTCATCTTTAGCTTAATTAACAATCTTGTAGTATGGTAAACCATTTTTGTTAGTATAGAGGTTGAATAATGAAGAATTCATTTTGATAAGAATCTTACGGAATTCTCATAAATGAATAATAATTCAAGAAATTTTTTCATCATGCGTCCAATGTGTTTCACTGATTCTAAGCAGCTCCAGGTTGTATCTTTTCATTTATGCAGCAATTTGGATGACTCTCCCGGTCTCTCACATTGTACGAGCATCCCATGTACTTAAATTAATGTTTGCTCTAGTTGTCAGAAGGGGCATCAGCCTCGTGACTTCCAAAGAAACTCGGCCTTCACCATGAGGCGTCATAATTCTTCTAAATGAAGACCTAACTCCCAGAGCAGAGTTTAAACAGTCTGGATTATTCTTTCAGGTTAACGTTTTTTAGCGAGTTAGTTTTCTATGTGATGGGGTCTCTAACCCCATGCTCAACCGTCCTCATTTATCCGGGCTTAGTTTCACCAAGCACATTTTGGTAAATTAGTAGTTATTATTATCAGAAGGCATTGCGTGGAGATTTTAGAAATTTCACTGGTTGAAATCATGAATCCATTGAAGCTAGACCACCATGGAAAACCTGGAAGCACTGGACGGCCGTTTCGTCCTAGTATGGGACTCCTCAGCAGTGCGCATCCACGATCCCGCTCCTCGCTAGTTAGGTTGTTAGTCATCATATAGGAAAAATATCAAAAAAATATAGATTTCCATCTTTAAAATGATGTTTTCTATTTTGTAACCTTGGATCTTTTGACCAACTGTCACTGGTAACTTTGAAAAACAGTCAAGATTTATTATCTTAAAGTACACAAAATTTAAAGTAGCCACTTCATCTTTTTATCATTAAAAATAGATTCTTTATACAAGTGTACAACCGTTAAAAATCAAATGACAATTCGTCAACTCTTTCAAAATATCTATACACCTTTGTTTATTTACCTTTCTTAGATAATCATCAACTGTATCTAAATAAGGTAACCAACTAGTACGTTCCAAATGATTCCATGTTTCTTGTTCTATAGTGGGTATTTGAATATTTACACCATTCGATGTCCATTGAAGTGTAGATTTATTATTATTATTACTATTGTACATTTCATGTTCAATATGACTGATAGAATCTTCATATAATATTTTGTTATCGGAATGATAATTCATTGAATTTTCATTTATATCATTATGATTAATAAGTTCATTGTTGGTGTTGGTTTGGCTGAACCAGCTGATTAGTTTCTTACTAATATACATCATATATCTTGACAAATGTTTACTATGATCTTCATAATGTTTACCACAGTCTGAAATTTGGCTTGTCCCTTTTTGGATCTAAAAATTTATTGAAAGCGAAGAACAAATAAAGATAGTTATAATAATAATATGACAAATTACAATAGAACAAACCAAGTTTGGGAGATAAATCTTAAGTGTAATCTTGGGTATTAAAAATTTAGAAATTCAGAACACTACGAATCCCAAATTGTTTTATTTCAAAGACTGACATCAATTGGAAGACTACTGGAAACTAGTGAGAACCGGATAATTGTTCCATCTATGCCAAAGTTGATTTGTTGTTCAGATGTACCATGCCTTAAAATTTAGTAGTAATCAAATGAGTTACTTTTCGTCTTAACATTCTAGTCTTGTAATTAAGGAGGTATTTGGTAGAAAACCATCTAGTACATAAAATAACACCATACATTAAATACACTATTTGTCAATCTTCCTTGAATTGTTTCTTAGAAACTTATGTTTCCTCCATTCCTGTTCAAATTTTGACTGCTTTCTATTTTCCTTTCTCTTCTTACTATATCCTCTCCTGTTCGTTAGTATCCTACTTTCAGTACTTGATATATGCTACTTTTATCTGGTCGTACAAGTAGTATATACCACGATAGTACTGTTTTTTCTAGTTGACAGTATGTTACTTATGATATTTCAGATGATAACTTTGGAGTTCTGTACTAAAGTTTACATTATTAAGGGTATATTGAATATATAGTGATAATTCTGAAACAATTTGAAGATGAGTTCATACAGTATGTAAATCAGCATATAAATTTAAAGATCATAACCTGATCAGAAAATATTCATACTTTTGACCGATTAAAATTATCATAACCATCTATGCTAATAAGACATTTTTATTGTCGTTGACGTTAGATAGTGATAGAAAGCGCCTTAATCAACATACATTATATCTAGTTTTTGTTATGTGAATAATGTTTTGAAAGTGAAGTGAATTAACTTTTTACTACAATCTTTTAGCAGGAAAAACAAGACCTCAATTAAGAATTATATCTTATTTATTATTATTAGCTTTATTGTTAGGGACGTTAGATCCTCAGAACTCACTTGGAAAAGGACCTAATTCTGTAATTTTACTTAGAAAATTTGAATTTTTTTGTTTTTGCGTCAAAAGCGCTCTTTTCACCTTCATGTCATATTTCCCACTTGGGAGAATCTTAAATACTATTGGTCCCTTGTGTCTTTTAGTATGCTATTTTGTAACGCTTCCCAAAGACAATTTTGTGTTGTATGTATACGTTTTGATTTGTGTCTGTTGTTTTTGCTCATTTTCTGGCTTTTTTCGGAATATACTTTCCCGTTCGGACTTTGAATTCTCTCCCTAGTTAGCGGGGCTGGAATGCATCAGAGTAACTAGCTTATTTATCTTTGGTTACAAGTTTTTGTTCCGTTTGCGGTGTATGTGAACTCTTAACCGCTACAAACCTGGCATTTATTTAATATTATATTTTTGGTACAATATAGAATTCTCAAAACAAAGTATTTTAACAAATTTCCGTTTCTTAATTCTTCGTCAATCTTGACAACAAATATTGAGTGGTCGCCAGCTAGAAATAAGTAATCCAGAAATCGATACCTAAAGAATGTACATTCTTTTCGCTGTATAATGCCAGTAATCATGTCTCTGATTGGAATTTTTTCTACAACTTGTACAGCGTAAAGTTGTAAACATTTTTTCATAAACCTACCTTAATCAGTTACACGATTACTAAACATAATGATATATTGAAAACAAGTAAAAATTAATTAACTTATTGAAATAACTACAAATAACTCATATATTCAAATAGGCCACCAATTTATGATTTAAGTGTAAAGAATTCTTTATTTTCATGTTATTTCTATTGAACTTTTCATATTTTTGAAAAGAAAATGATAAAAATATATATATTGTTTTGAATGGAATTTTATTCTTTAAGCTAAATGGTTTAGTCATGGAGCTTTCATCAGTCTTCTGAATGACATCATCAGTGCAAACTCTATCAAAATCATCCAGCTTAGCCACAAATCTTCATCATCTTAAAATGCATTATATTCTTCAATTTAAAATTAAGCTCTTCTCATATACCTATATCCATTAGAACGAATAGGGGTTTATTTGATTTGTTAAAGTATTTCATTAGCAAATAAGAGATGATATAATGAAATAATAAACAGTTTTTTTTTTAATAAACATTCTACTTTATTAAAAAAAAAGAAAAAAATTATTGATTTTATCTAAGTTTTTTCCTTTTCTAGCACATTCGTTTATTTTCCCAAAAAAAGAAAAAAATTAAAGTTTTACGAGTGTAATTATAATTTTTCAGGTCAATTTTTTTTTGAAAAAAAAGAGGAAAAAAAGATACGAAACTGGAGCTCATTTTAAATAGAGAAAATTTTCGCAAGAACGATATAAGTTTATATTTATAAGAGTAGTTTAATGAATGTTAAATGACCTTAGAAATGAATTAAATTGTTTGTTTTTTTTTCTTTTTTTTATATTTAAATTATAGAAATAGAGTGAATAAGTTCGTTCTTCAATTTAAATCGTTAGTAAGTATGTATGTATGTATGTATGTAAGTAAGTTAGTTAGTTAATGCTTAATATGAATGGAACATATTGGAATCAACTTGATTGTTTGAAACATTTAAAGAATGATCATTTGATTGTAAGTTTTTAAATGGGTTTTCATTGTTTGTTTCTGGTTAATTTCTAGATTATTCGATGTTACTTTATAAATTAGTGTGAATTTAAAAAAGGATATAACTGGTAAGTGTTGTAAAGCTAAAATTGTTTAACAGATAATCATTATATACAGGATAATTACTTAATTATATCTACGTCTGTTACTCCTCGTTGAAAAGTATAGACTGCCTACTAGCAATCTTCATCCAACTTTGTCCTAGGCAATCTTTTCCAGTTCTTTTCATTTACTATTCATTCTTTTTATGTCTACTTCCAACTCCTGACGCTATGTGGTCCTTGGTCTTCTTCTTTCCCTTTTCCTTCCAGGATTCCACGTTGGAGTTTGCCTTGTGACGTAGTTTGGTGATTTCTGTAATGTATGTCCTATCCTAATTTCTACTTCGAATGGAACCTAGTTTGTTCTCTTCCATAGTGGGTTATTGCTGATGGTCTCCGGTCAACGGACACTAAGTAACTTGTATAAAAAACTGTTTATAAATGCTTGTAACTTTTTAATGATGGTTGCAGTAGTTCTCCAAGTTTCAGTATCGTACAGTACAACTGTCTTGACGTTCGTATTGAAGATTCTCACTTTGGAATTGGTTGACAAAATTTTTTAGTTCCATATGTTCTTCAACCGTAGAAATATTGTCCTTACTTTGCCAATCCTCACTTTTACGTTTGTATAGGATCCTGATTGCTCATCGATGATCCTGCCCACATACATAAAATTACCACTTCATCCAGTGCTTTACCATCAAAAGTGATTCAGTTAGTTCCATCCGTGTTTCCTGGTTTTTCCCTTGTATATGTTGAGGCGTACTGATGCAGAGATTACTGCTACACTAGTCAACTTCACCTGTATTGTTAGTGTGTATGGGATAGAAGAGCTAGGAAATCGGCGAATTCCAAATCGTATGGTTTCATTCAGGCTATTCATTTTTTCCCATGCTTCCAGTCAGATATCGAGGTTTTCATAATTCAGTCAACCAGCAGAAAAAGGAGAAAAGGTGAGACTTGGCAGCCTTGTCTGGCATAGGTCATCACTTGGAATTCATCTATCAGCTGTCCTTCATACCAACTTTGCATTGTAATTCGTCGTACGAATTCTGAATGATGTTGACGATCTTCTCGGGTACACCATAGTGTTGAAGAAGAGTTCATAAGGTTCTCCTATCCACACTGTCACATGCTTTCCCATAGTCAAGGAAGTTGATGTATAATGACGAGTTCCGTTCGATTAATTGTTAAACGATAATCCGTAGTGTTGCTATTTGTTCTGTGCATGACCAATCTTTACGTAATCCGACCTGTTCGGGTGTTAATAATTGCTGTCTTCGTGTTCTTCCTTTCTTGAATGTTGTCCTAGGTTTCGATAAAGATCCATTCCTTATGATGTTGTCTCATGAGGCCCAGCGCTTTCTGAAACGTAGAAGATCATCCTGTTTTGATTCCTTTCCAGTTGTCTTTCATAGTAGTTTCCTCTTCTTTTAGTAGGTCTTGTAAGATTTGAAACCCGTTGTTGAAAGCTAACTTGAATTGGTTGAGTTCATCATTATCTCGAAGGGAGGCTGTATTGAACCTTTGTAATGCTATTTGTATCGTTGTTCAGTGCTTCTTTAGATTCAGTTTAATCAAGATAACCACTAAGTGGTAGTGATCTGAAGCTACCGTATACCATTGTCTAAATGAGCTATTACCGGTAATGTTTAATCAAACTTTTAAACAAATGATTTTATTACAGTAACAATTTTATATTAGTCATGTTAATATCGTAATTACTTTTTTTACTGTTTCAACTCATAGCGAAAATATAAAGTGAACTTGACGTATAACTGAATGATAGAATTCGGAAAGGATCTATATTGGAAAACTATTTTGTCATTCACAACTATGTAAAAGAACACATGGTAGTACTCAGAAATAGAAAGGTTAATGTTTTCAAGTAGTTCAACATTTAATGAATAGACTATGAAAACAGATATTGCAAAACAATACTTGGAAATTTAAAGCTGCTAAAGTTTGAACTATTAGTGTGTTATGTTTTAACTTAATCCACTATAAAGCACTACAGGTTTTACTCAAAAACGTTTTACTAAAATCGCATTACCGCAAAGTTTGTTTTGATATCTCACCATAATCAACCATTTCCAAATATTTTTTTTTCAATTACCTTGTTAAAATGATTCTCTAGCCTTAAAAACTTTATTGTGTACTCTTCCCAATGTGATTTATTGTGTCTGTTATTAAAATCACTACCTCTGAAAGAAGGTGAAATAAACTGTTCACAAGAAGGATTTAATGATATACTCTTATACATATTATAAAATTCTCAAGAGATTTGATAAAAATCTGA